TGCTCGCGACTTCGCCCGCGTGAAAACAAAAAAATATAGCCCATTACTCACAGACAACGTAGCTTTTTAATGATAAAAGAATTTTTAAATCGGCCCCGTACTTTTTGAGTTATTTCAAAACATGCAAAAATACAAATTTTTCCTCTTTATAATATCAGTAGATACATACTACATATTTAACTAACTTATATACAACTAAGTATCATTCAAATTATTAAAAAAACAAAAAGGTAATTAAAACCCGACTTGAAAAGTAGCTTAAATTACATCGTTGTTTACTAAACACTTTCATTACACAATGGCAAGCATTTTGCATTTTGGCGCAACATGTCTCACAAAACTGTTTCCAGACGAGACGAGCTTAGTAAAATTTTGATGTTTTGCAAAGAGTTTCTATATCTACAAATGTTGTAACAAGAGGGAGAAACTCTAATCTTGTATTTCTATGGAAATTTAATTAACTGAATGTTCAAAGCCAAGTGACGCTAATGAGAATTCAGGCCTAATTTATTGAATTAAAATATTTACAATCGCATAATATCAAAGGAATTATGATTATTTTAAACAAAAAATAAAAGTGTTTCAAAAATCGAGATTTTGTCTATGGTCAGTTACTTTTTTTCTTTACTTAACTACTTATTAACAATATAGCAATTTACTAGGAATTATTTTTATTTCGCAAATAGCACTGTAGTATTAAATTAAAACAAGACTTTAACTCCCAAAAGAAATGAAACAAAAGTATGCTTTTGATTAAAAACTGTCGAAGTTCAAACAATTTCTAATGTTGCGCGAACAAACAATCGAGAAATTAAATCTCAAAGGAATTTTAACAAAAACATTTCATGCTGTTTTATTTATACATTTCGATTGGAAAAAAGCAACTTAGATTTAGATTTTCCTATTAATTCTTAATTATGAAATATACTTAATTTTCTGGTATATTTATTTTCACCAAGTCGGGAATAAAAAAGACAATAATTTATTATGAATGCCCCAAATTAAAATGGACGTCATGTCACAACAAAGAGCATTAAATATGTAAACACAAAGTGGTTTTAATTATCAGCAGATTCAACTGGATCAGTATTAATACATTGATACAAATGAGTTCACTTAAAGTAATTAATAATTAATTAATATATTTCTATTAAACAATATAATATCTATATTTCTATACTGATATTATAAAAAGAATATATTTGCATTGCTAAATTTTCTACGGATTGAAATAACTCAAAAACTACTGGAGCGATTCTTGCATTAAAAAGCTAAGTTATCAGTGAATAACATAGGCTGTAATTACAATTTATTTTTAATTTAACGCGGATAAAGTCGCGATAACGGCTAGTTTCTAAATATTATTGGACATATGTACTGTTGCGTTGCATTTGCATTTCGGCTGTAAAAATCTTATAACAAGACGTATAACATGTATAACAAGACAAGTTAGTTGCTTTTAAAGAATAACAATATTCAAGTGTTCGCGTTTCGCGGTTCCGCAAAACGAAGCTCAAACAAATTGCACCCTTTTCTGTCCCGGCAAATATAGTTTATGTTGTGAGATGAGTGCCAGTACGTGCTGGATGCCACAAATGCACAGCATGAACATACAAGTGAACGGATTACATTATAGCAAAGCAAATTCCTTTTGAATAATATAATAATTTCTTTATCCTATTGTCATTTTAGTAACAAATAGATGACGTCTACTGTAGTAGCAATTAATTAACGCATACTTTGTCCCTTACATTATCTTTGGTGAAACAGATTCAAGTTGCAATGGAAACCTAAATATTATACGTTCATTATTTCTTTTAAATGATTTTTGAATTTTTGAACAGGGTAATAGGAAAAGGCAAGCTGTATTTTCAGAAATATAAATAATAGTCTAGCTATAAATATATTTATTGGTAAACAAATTACTAGTCATAATGTTAAAAATAAAAAACTTTACAGATATTCTGAATTTAAATAGTGTACATAAAACAATCATGGTAGGAAAAATTCTTCAACACTATAGAAGGCTAGCCATGACTAAGGTATTAGCCATGACTTAAGTTCATTTTTATCATATCATTTCTGAAGATATAGATATCTTTAGTTGTAATGAGTCGAAATTCACAGAGGCTGCATACAGATGTGTGGAGGGCGAGACAAATGGTGGTATTTAGTTATATGTTGTTATATTCTTCTTTTTGATTTCTGTGTATAATTTGATTTTTTTTTCTTCTTCATAATCAGTTTTTTATTGTATTTCAACTTTATTTTTGACCGACTTCCCAAAAGAAGGAGGTACTCAATTCGTCTGTATGTTTTTTTTTTTTTT